CTGTTCTTTAATTGCCATGTGCATTGCTAACAGCGGAGCTATCTCAGCCGACAGGCTGCTTGTCTATTTTTGCAGTAGCATTTTCTTTAAAGTGTTTCCCTATAATATGTAATTCTTCTTTCCAGACTGCGATGTCTCTGTGACGAGTAGTTCAACAATATCATCCTACAACTACCCAGATGACTATGTTAATAATTTGGACTGCGTGACAACAATATACAATGCTGATGGATGTATCAACTTCCTGTTTCTAAATTTTGATTTGGAGTCTGGTACTGTAAATGATGTGTGTGACACTGACTATGTCAAGGTAAGCTTCGTTTTTGTGAATTCCTAGGTGCTAGGTGACCTGTCACTATTCTCCAACCTTGCATCGTTATTGGTCATTCGAACACGTTCAAATCTCAATTGGTCACTCACTCACTATGTGGTGTTCAAACAAAAAATTGATCTCTTTAATTACTCCAACACCAACCTGTCATCTCGTTTTGTCGCTCCCTAGGTGTCCTGTATTTCAGCATCAACCTACCATCTTAATTGATCACCCCCTAAATGACCTGAATTTATGTTCCTTTTTACACTGGTCGGCATAATGTTTTGTAAGCATACATTGCAAAGCAGTCAGCAAACCAGTTAACCTGTCAGCTGAATGAACTTTTAACCTCGATGTCAGATTTCAATGCATTCTGTTAACAGTCTCCAATAAACATTCATGTACTTTAAATAATAACACAATCATATAATAAGTAAAATATCTGTTAGAATGATTTGTTTATGTATTCAGGTTTTCCCATTTGTATTCCATTTTGCACTGACTTTGATAATGGTATGATCCGCTATATATCGTAAAATATTCCATTCAAACAATGCCTTGAATTACCCTTTCTCAACAGATTGAAGATGTCTCTGGCGGAGAAGAACAGTTCTTCTGTGGTACTTATTCACCATTGCCAAGTTGGCAATCCTCAACAGGTAATGTCAGGTTGACATTGCACACCAATGATGCACTCACTGCAGGGGGCTACCAGATTTTTGCTGTATTTGGTGACTGTCCAAGCTACACCTGGACAACTGAAGCATGGAGTCAGGTAGGGTTGTAATTTTGAAACTTATTTAGAGAAAATGTGTTCTCAAACATGTACTACTGTAAAATACTTTTGTGAGGTGTTGACTCGGGAACACACGAAACATCAAAGAAACCAGAAGCTTTCAGGTTTAACTTGTTTATTCGCCATTTTCAGTTACAACCGATGACACTACTTTTTACATATCAATACACTTGAGTGATCAGGTGACATAACACCATTATAAAAGTATGTATTCTGATGCTTGTAATAAAGTAGTTCCAAAAATGTCACAACTTTATTTTAGCAAAAATTTATTTTTGCATACTTGGGGAAT